GACACTTTCCGTGGTACTCACATAAATGTCATTTAAACCAACTTATTTTAGTAATAATTGTTATTTATTTAATCTTTGTGCATTAAATGTCGTTGATCATCATAAAAAATAACATATTTGAAAATAATGCCTTTGTAAATGATTGAATTTTAATAAAAATCCTAAAATTTTAAATCGTCATATCAAAGTTATTTTTTATTTTTTTATCATCAAACTTTTGGAAAATAAACATTCTTATAATATCTGGGGAACCGTGTCTCAAATTTTTTCTATCTTTTCTCAAAAAAATATTACGTAACGTCAAACATTTTATGCGACTTTTTTCACCATTCATATTACGTAATTAAAGATAATTAAGTTGCTGATTGAGCAAACAAAAATCCCTGACACGGTTCCCTCCGTAAATGAATTCCCTTTCATGTGCTTTAAACCGCATGTTAATTGCTTGATTATTAAAAAAGTTATGCCGATTCAAAGTTAGTCCGACCCGCATCAAACGAAGTGTCATAAATCGGCTGTTCTCTCTCGGACCCCTACGTTTCACGCTAAATAATTGCATAATACACAAATATCGCACCAGAGAGGGTCACAAGTTGCGGTAACATACTCTAACAACATTTTATGACCCAGTGACATCTGACCAATTAAAAAGTTACTGATTAATATCAATTTATAACAGAAATATCTTCAAATCTTAACGTGATTTATCTTCCGTCTGATATCTGTCGCACAAGTCACGTGACTTTCGGTAAAATTTGAGGCACTCGGTGGGGGGAAATGGAACGTAGCGGGGTATTTAATTGTTTCACTTTTGAAGTTTATTATTATTATGATTATCATCGGCATAATTATTATATTACACCAGTGTCACTCTGTCTGTGTATTCGTGTATGAAATTCCGTTAAAATATAAATTAAAATAACAAAAAACTGAGCTTCTGACGGTCTTTTAAAGTCCACGGTAGAACGGGATATTTTTTCCTCCAAATTGATATAAATGCTTAACATATTTTAATAGAAATAAATCACTCGATCATTATGATCTGACCTTCTTGACTTCTATGATCATGAAAATCATCTATGCACGGCATAGGGATCCAGTTTCTACTGGGATATACAATAAATTCCATAATTTGTTCCAGGTTTATTGGTACTGTGTTCGATTTTCTGGCGAACAATTTATTCAAAGCATTCACTGATAATATACTCGTATTTTATTATCTTTTTTATTGATTCATAGAGAAATAATCATCCTTAGACAACCTTAAATGGTTTAGAAATTTGTCAGGGACACCTTAAATTACCACAAGTCATATAGGCGTTCACATAAAAAATGTTGTCTGTTTTGTTGTTGTTTTACTTGACATTGTTAGAAAACGAGGTTGAATGTAAAGCAAGCCCTTGAATACGTACAAAAGTCCATAAACTCAATGTAATATCTATCAGATTAACGGGACAGACAAATTATTTTCACACATTATGGATATTTTAGCATCAACCACGTGGTCTTGCGATTTGCCGCTATATATTTATGTTTCATACATTATGTAACGTACATTGGCCGACAATTTCTTATTTTATAAAAAAAGGCTAAATAAAAGGTAGACGATATTCATAAAAGATGTACGGTATTTGTACGATACATGAATTACGGGTAGTATGGACCAGAATGGACCGGTAATTCACGCATATATGGAACTACCGATTTCCCTCATTGATGCCTCAACAGGGGGCGGGGCGTTATCGATAATTGACAGGTTACGCGAATAGCAGATAAAAATGCGACAGGTACCGTTTTAAAACGTTTAAAAACACATTTTTTGGACTAACTACTTCCAAAATTAAATCACGAATGTGTTCAGAAAAGGTTGATAAATCTACTAAGCAAAAAATCTCATTTTAGGTATTTTCAGTGATAATTGACTCCGTTGTCACCTTAAAGAGGTTAGATTTTTGAGGACTAAAAATGAAAGGCACCAATATAAAATAAGAAATTTTGATAATACTGTTTTGTGGTTTGAATGGCCCTAAATATTCGGCTGGTTGTAACAATAAGTGCAAACATTACAGACCAAGATCAATGCCATCAGAATGTGGTCAGCACTTTTCTTCCCATGGGATCAGTGCATACCAAAATGGGTGCAGTCTGATGATTGTCTGCACTGTCCGGTATAATTCAGTCAGTAGTTATTTTGAAATTTTACCTAAAAAAAAAAAAGACTAAATTGTTTGTCTAGATTGAAAGATGGACATGTTCATTTAAGATACTTAACATGGTTAGGGTCAAGATATTGTATAATATAAAGATTTAGATCTAGTTTGTTGCATACAGTGATCTATGTGACAAGTAGATTTTAAACAAGTTTTTGCCCACATCAAAAGAGAATGTGATGATTAACATTCATCTTAAGTAGTATCAAGCGGTTTGGCCATTGTCCATTATATGCAAAGACATTGTTCAAAACACTACATGTAACTGGGTGAGATCTATAGAGATAAAGACACAAGTCTGCACCACTTTATTATTTAATGAGAAGTACTTGCGTAATTTCTGTTTTTTGTTGATGACGCACATCTCTGTATAGCTTGTGCATCAGGAGATTGTCATGTTGATGTAGATTTTAAGTTTGGTTTTAATTATAACAACCGTTGAACATCCATGATATGAAAAGGGTAGAGCTAATTGTAACCATCAAAAATCCAGGGCAGTACAGTTTGTTCCTGGTCTTTTTTGTTATGATGTTGTTACTTTGTGTTCCATTTCTAGTTTTTATCAGTTTTCATGACTGTTAAGTTTACATAATGAACTTGTTCTTGTTTAAATTAAGAACTGTCATACAATTGGTCACCTTAGTGCAATAACTGGTTAGGCCATCCTTAAAAAAATGTTTGTTTGCAGTAACGCGACCGACTCACAAAATTTGCCCCTACTCAAAATTTTTTTTCATGGTCTGGATAAAAAAAAAAAATTTTTGAATCAGGAAATTATGCCTTGTGCTTTGTTCTTTTAAAGGTTAATAGAAGAAATAAAATGTAGGTCTTATTAAATTAGAATTCAGTTATCAATTTATTAATTGTTACCAGATTATCAAGGCATATATTGTCCAGCATTTTGAAATTCCATGTTTATTTGGGAGTACAGTTCAATAAAAAAAAAAATTGACCTACCTACCCACCTTGAAAATTCTGGGTCGGGTTACTGCAAACAAACATACCGCCTCCGTGGTCGAGGGGTTAGAGTCGATGACTTCTAATCCAGTTACCTCTCTGGCATGGGTTGATCCCTCGTATGCTTTGGCATAGTTTGCTGTGGAGGAAGATTTTAGTACTGGTTGTTAATTCTCAAGGAGCAACCATGTTTGGGGTGAAATTTAACCTCCAAAATGACAGAAATATTTTGTTCCGGGCGTTAAATGTTACCAAACAAAAATGAAACATAAATGAACTTGCAAAAAAACATTTTTTTAAAATGGTTACTCCTATTAAATTTAGAAAGAAATAACCAGTTACTGCACTAAAGGTAACAGAATTGTATTATTATGAATAAAGCATCGGAGAATTTTGAGTCGGGTGAGACTGCATGATGAATGTGGCATGGCCTGGCTCTATACCAGTGGCCACGTCAAGTCTTTATTACTGCTAGCGTGTCAAGGATTAATCACTTGATTTCTTACAAGTGACAGAAAAGACAATCTTACCAGGCTCTATACTGTTGGTAGTTTTAATTTTTGTGTTGCCTTGAAAAAGGCTACATATAGGGGTTACTTTTGTTGTCCGCGTCCCCTTAGGCTTGTTGTATTTGGATATTGAAATCCCTTAAAATTTCAACTGAGCTTTAGCAGTTTTTGATATCATTTTATAAATTTGACAGGTTTAGAGTCAAAGTCAATATGATTATAACTACAATTGATTTTGCGCTAAAAGATTGCATAAAAACAGCTTTAGATAAGTGGTCCACAGAAAGCATTGATTTGTCATATATCTGGCACATCTCCCACACTTTCTTGTGAATGGATTAAATTTGATCCTATATCGTTGATTAACCTTCCCATTCATTTGGTAAAATACCAGGTCAATAAATACAAAGACTGTTATGATTATCAATATATAATATGTTGATCTGTTTGTGATCAAGAGATTTTCATTTCCACACCTCATTAGTCGTGTTTTTACGTCTTGGTTTATTTCTACTATGTAAGTGATATTCCCCCTCTCGACACCACACACACCACAATTATTGATATGTCGTAAAGCTCTAGTTATTTTTATGTAGGCACTTGTGACATAGTGATTTTTTTATATGTTCCATGTACAATATTTATAAGACTATTTATGGTCATGTTAATTAGTAAAAGGAGAGGTTTTTATGTGTGACCTGACCCTTGCGTATACTTTCATAGTGTTGTATTCCTAGTTTTTATTTCATGTTAATATTGTTCCCTAGATTATTTTTATATTCAATCCTTTGAACAGTTTTGTATGAGGCAAGAGGGATTTGACTGTTAAATGTTTAATTGTTACCTGATATTTTGTAGTTTTTCCATCCTGATCTTGAAATCTTGACAATATGTTCAGCAGTTTTTTTCTATATAATAAGAATGAAAAAAAAGTTTACTGTTATTTAGGTATGTTATGTCCATGTTTGAAGGGTTTCTCAATTTCAAAATTTCATAAATGAATTTCAGTATGGATGATATTTCAAAAAGATGTGGCAGTATGACTTGTGTGGTTGACAGGTCAGACTAGTAATCTAAGGATTGCTAGCCCTGTGGGTTCAACCCTCATCAGACTCGGGCAAGGACCTTTACGCTCATTGCTCAGTACTGGTTTGTTGGAAAGTCTATCAATAAATTATAGCTTCCTACTTAATAGAACTAAAATAACAAATTAAAGATGTGCAGCCATGATTAGTGAATATATGAAGGCTGATCAGTTGCCCTGTATGGGTATCCTAGGAAAGTCATGTATCATAACTAATATTCAGTGTTTTCAACATTTCAGGATGATGCAAGACAGTTTTTTGCCTTGGCAGGAAATGCTGATGAAGGTGACTTGTCAGGGGAGTTGGCAGCTATTATGAAGAGATTATGGAATGATTCGGGTGTTGCCCAGTGTGTGGGACGATCCAGAGAATACCAGTTGAACGATTCAGCAGAATAGTACGTCCTTAATTAATTTGCATTTACTTTTTAAGCTTAAGGATTTAGTTATTTTGTTATTTTGAATAAGTTACTGTGAATGTGTATTTACAATGTAATTATTAGGATTATTCGTTGGAAGTTTACATTTAACTTATTTGTTTGAGGAATTCTGTATTGATATTTAGACCAGGTGTTTAAAGGTCAAATTAAAGTTTAGGCTTGTAGCCTTACAAATAGAATGTTGCCAATTAGGCAAGTGTAGTGGTAAAAGTAGGCACTCTACGTTTGCTTTAGAAATATTAAACACTAGTATGGTATGCTTTATAAATGTTGAACACAAGTATCATTATATGTTACAACCTTACAGTGTCACACAACAAAATGTGGTCTTTATTATTAAGATTGGTCAAAGAATGTGTTAAAAATCACTATTTTCATTCCCTGATAGCCTGCTTATTAATCATGGCAAATTTTACTCTGAATCAATCAATGGGATTCCTAAGCTGACCACTTTGGGCATAGTAGTATTCAACAATTAGTATATAATGTTACAGGCATGGTAATGTATATATAGGTATTATATTTATTTGCAGATAAGATTTCTGTTGATCAGATTACTGTCCCAGTTATTTTAAGCTTTGTTTACTGCAGAATATTAATGTGCTATTAAGTATTAAAATACCATACTGGGCTATTGATTAGTTTGTATAAAAATGTCATATCAGGGGGACTTTGCTAGATTTATGTCTTTGTTTGTAAATAAGACCATATGTTGAGAATGCGGCCCTCTTGAGATTTGTACCGTAAGTGTGATGGCTTTTCCTTCCGTATGGTTAAGTGGTAGCTAGGCAAGAATTGAGTTAAAATTGCTAACGGAAATTGAAAAACCAAAATCAGGCCTGTTATATGATATTGTGTGTCAGTTTCACACGTAATTATACATAGAAATCTGTATGATTATTTATGATTTGAGGTTTAAATGGTAGAGTTGTAGAGCTTTTGGACTTTCTCTTACTGTACATGTAGCTACTGTTTTATGAAGAAAGCTTTTTGCTTTATATTATATGATAAAATAATGTTCAAAGGTAACATGAAGTTTTGTTGGTGACCTTTTTGTAATGATGTCAATACATGTATGATGGATGAAAGAAACAATATATGGTAACAAGTATGGTTCCCTGCCTACTACAGTCCATTAATTGGTAATAATCCCACACACGATGTCGAAATAAGTGGACATTTGATCACTTTTACTACCTATACATACAGAGTATATTACCTGTTGGCTATATTAATAAATAGAAATTGTAAAGTGGTCTTTGAAGGTCAAGAGATCCCCTTTTCTAATCATAAGGTCAGATTGCTGAACTTATTTAACTTTTAGTGACTAAAAGCACTAGTCTTTTATGAGTTTAAAACAAATTGAATGTGAATAGATTTAGAATTTCTTTTGCATATCTTGATAATAAAAAAAACTCCAGTTTTAAGTTGACATCAAAATTTTAAAAAAAGGACAGGTCCATTATATGATTTATTTACGGAGTGCACACATTAATATGATTTTTTTTCCATAATAGAACATAAAATTGTTATAGCAACAGTTAAGAAGTCTTGAAATAAATACTGTTTTTTTCAATATTGATCATAGTTTCATATTCTAACTTTTTGTTTCATAAGACAAACCAAAAGTGCAAATTAAAAAAAAATCGCCTTTTTAATTTTATAATGGTCTGTGGAGATAGTTTGACACATTGAATGAAAAGCCACCTAATGAAGAATAAGGTTGTTAGAGTTATGGATCTTGCTAATGTCATTATCTAGTGTATAGATACAGAATTACCCTAACTTTAAAAGAAATGAGGAAGCTAGCTAGCTATCCAGCTAGCTTACAGAACGTCGGTGGTTCTACTTAGGTGCCCGTTCGTGCCTGAAATAATGCATGGAAGGGCACCTGAGGTTTTCCTCCACCAGTAAAGCTGGAACGTCGAGATACGACCTATACTGTGTCGATGTGACGTAAAACCCAAAACAAACAAACAAAGAAATTATATAGACTTTGGTGTGTGAACATTGAATGACATGTTTGTTGTTGTTTATTACAGTTACCTGAGTGCGTTGGATAGAATATCATTACCAAATTACATCCCCACAGAACAAGATGTGTTGAGAACTAGAGTGAAGACCACTGGTATAGTGGAAACACACTTCACGTTTAAAGATTTACATTTCAAGTAAGTCACTCTGTTTTAAATGCTCTTGAAAGGTTTTGAATTGCCAAGGTGTTTGTCTGCATTTAGTTGGGCCCATAATTTCATAATTTGATAGATTTTGAAAGCAAAATGTATAAATGTGTTGCTTATTAAGGTGATGTGTTGCATGCAAGACCCATGTTTGTTGGTCAAATGTCAAGGTCACTCTTAGAATTGAAATGTAATTTTTTATGTAACAAAAGTATAGATGGTCATGTTTTGTAAACAATTCTGTCATTCCTGGATGGATTTAAAATAAATGATAAATGTGTTAGACATGATAAATACATGTGTGGCAAGAATTAGCTCAAAGATCAAGGTAACACTTGTTGTTTGGTAACACAGAAGACTGCCCAATAGCAGAGAATGCCTGTTTTCCCAAATACTCCAAAACTTCCCAATTACAGTGAATATTCCATAATTCTGTTTAATTTAATCAAATTTCACAAATTTTCCCGAAATTGGGTAGACCTTAGACCTGTTTCCCCAAAGTATTTGGGTGAAATTCAATCATACAGCAGGTCAAGGTTGAAATAAAAAGGTATGACATTGTGAGATAAACAGGTTTTCAAAGAAAAGATAACTGAGAAAATGTCATGGTAACCTATTGACTTTAATAGTTTAAGTCTTGTTTTTACAGTATCGACAAAACTTAAGAATTTAATTTCAAGATAGTAAATTACCTGCATAGCATTTCACAGTTGGTATTTAAAGGTCACATACAGTTTATTTTGCTATGAATTTCTTACATGTTTGAAGAATATAGACAGACTGGTATATTTTCTGTGAAGGACTTTTATAAATATCAAAAAGCAACATAGTTCAACTATATATAAAGGTCTTTGGTGCAGTCTGTTGTTTGTGTTTCTTTTCTTCAGCAAAAATGTCAGATTTTTTCCAAAATTGCGCCCTCAAAGATTCAAAATAATTGTAGTATTTCATAATTAACAATTATCAAAACTACTATTCTTTTCCCCTTTGGTCTGCACTGTTTGCTATTCCGCTGATAAATATATCTAGAAATTTCCCCTAAAAATGATGAATAGTTTTGTCCAGATTGCAAGTTGGACAAGTCTATTTAAGATATTTAGTGTGGTAAGGGATAAGTAATTATATAAGATTTTTGGACAACATTCAAGTGTAGAAAGTACAAAATTGTACATGTAACAATGTGAGACGAACAGAAGTATAAATGTCAGCTTTACATGTGTAAAAATTACAAAGGTCAGTCTAATTTGAAGTTTAAAAATACTTGGAAAAGGAGAAAAACACGGACATATAACAATGCTCAAGTTGTTGAATAGAACAAGATGTCTCTTACTAATGTTGGGATAAATTTTTCTTCCTGTATACATAATTTTTAAAGCCCTCGGGTCCATTATTCATTTTGCGGGCCGATTATCACCTTCCGGCCCTCTCCTGTCGTGTATTAATGTCTTTAATACACTTGGTAGACCTAATAGTAGCATTTTTAAAAAACAAAACAAAAAAAACAACAACAAATACTTTGCAGTTCTTTCGTTGAAATTCTTGTCTACTCTTCTACTGTTCTGTACAGAGACGTTTACTGTTTGTGTGTTCAAAGCAGTATAATCTAGAAGCAAGTTTTATTTTCATTTTTTTTTCGGAATGAATTTGTCGTATTATTTCTTCAAATTTCAATAGTAACAAAAATGTGTTTGTACTAAATACACTTAAGCTCTCATAATAGAAATAAAGCGATTCGTGCTGACAACCTACTTTCACTTTTACAGTAAACTGTTTGATGACGTAAAATATGACGTCATTGTTTCAGTTTGTGCACGTGCACATGTTCTGGGGGCTGATAACTAGTTCTCGGGCCGCAATCTCATAATAGGTCACGTGACATTCATAATCAGTTGAAATCATGGGCAATTTTGTTACTATATATAGTAACAAGTGTATTAATATTCATTATTTTTTTTTTTTTTTTTTTTTTTTTTTTTTTTTTTTTTTTTTTTTGCTTTTATAAAATTTTCTTTTATTTTCCAACAAAAAACATCCTATAGATTTACACTGTTTTGTCATGGTCTTTTATCTTTTTGATATATGAAATAAACAAATGTGTCATTTTATATTTGTTTATCATCTTTTCCTCAAAAGGAAGCTACACAATAATGTGAATGACTAATGAATATATAAACTTTACAAATATACAAGGACTAAGATTGTCTTGATTGTGCTATATAAATATAATAGCGAGTATTTCGCTCCCATTGTTGAGGTTTTAAATGACGAAATAATAATTTCCTTTCTTTTCTTTCAATTTTTCCTATAAATTTTACATTGTAAGAACGAAATTCAGCTGAAGATGTGTAATAAAAGTGGGTTAACTAAATTGAAAGAAAATTGCAAATGCGATGTGGTTAAAAAAATTAAAATGAGTATAATTTTCTGTTAACTTGATGATGTGTCTATAATGTTGACACTGCTCAATGTCTTATGGATTTTTTCATTTTTTAGCAGTGAATAATTTAGTCCTGCTTATTATTTATGCTAGGTCAACTGCTCACAAAAAGTATCACAGAGCAACATGTAATCTCTTTTGTGTAAACCAGTTAATTATGTATTGTCCCACATTAAAAAAATTGGAGCACTTTGCAATAAACTTTAAATTCTGGAACGGTCTGTTGCTCCTGTCCTACCATTGTTATTTTATGGAAGCTTAAGTTAAACAGTCATCATTTGGCATATTATTGCTGATTGTTTATAACCTAAATAATGCCTAACTATAACCTTTACCAAAGTAACGCCTTGCTATACAGTAACCTAAGTAATCCCTAACTAGTAGGAATATATACATTTACATGTTGATTTGTGCCTTGCATGTAAGAGTATAAGATAATATAGTAATTTAATCATACATAGCTTGAAAATGAGCTGTGTAAAATAAATTGGAACTTTAAATGTAAATTGGAACTTTAAATACTGAGTGAAATTGAAAGTAGATGAAGTTTGAATCTTAGCCTCAGGTTAAACTCCCGCATTCATCTGTTAATGTTATTTTAATCATCAGTACAAACAGATTATACACTGTATTGTCCATTAATGAATATTGTAATTTTAGTCGGCCATTAGGGAAATTAAAAGGGGAAAAAGATTAAATGAAATTTTAAATATTAATATTAAATATCAAATTGCTTTTCCCCAAGTGAAGTAAAGGAAAACAAGATGATACATATTCAATATTTTAATGATTGTTTTTTGTTTATTTTATTTTAGAATGTTTGATGTTGGCGGTCAAAGGTCAGAGAGAAAGAAGTGGATTCACTGTTTTGAAGGTGTTACAGCCATTATATTTATTGTAGCAATGAGTGAATATGATCTGACATTGGCAGAAGACCAAGAAATGGTGAGTTTTTTTTCATGCTTTCAGGCTGTTTAATATATCTATGTATATAGATATATACAAGTTTGTGATAAACAATATCACCTTTAAATTTAAATGACTAATCAGACTTGCAGGTGTCCGTTTGGAAAAAAAAAGACAACTTTGTAATACTGTATTATTTGAGTGAAATAGAATATATTTCATAGATATTGATAGGTGTATACAGTAAAAGGTTTTTACCTTATTGTCTATGACTTGTATAGTATTTTATGTAGCATTAATAACCTGAATTCAAATTGCACAAACTGGCTGCAATACAAGTTGTTTAAAGGAAGTTGACAATTGTATTGAAGGGAATCACACTTGCGTCAAACAAAAAACATGGTACCATGTCAAGACATTACAGATCAGCTGTTCATTAAATCTATAAAAGGAAACTATCGATGGACATAGATGGTATGGCAAGCTGTTGAATGCTGGGAGATATGCTGTTTAACTGTCCTATTCTTCGTTTCAATAAAGAGAAAGATACAGTATCTAATTGAAATGAGATCTTGGTGACTTTGCTTAAAATCTATTATATGAACAAATGGGAGAGTTGAGTTTCTCTTTGAAATTGAATGTAGATTTTATTTCAAAGTATTCAGTTTTTTGTTTATAGTCAGTAAAACACAATAATTTATTTTGTGAAATTCTCTTTAAAAGAAATATATTGTTGTTAATAGTCAAACACAATAATTTATTCTGAGAAATTCTCTTTGAAAGAAAATCAAATAATTATATTGTGTTGTATAAGTAGACAGTACTATTTATTGTTCTAGACTCTTTGTAAAAGTCAAACATATTAAAATCAAATTTATAGAAAGAAAGTATACTTGGTTGTTTACTATATATAGACTTATAACGAGGAGTGGTATGATTGTACGCGATTATGCCAGACCGTGAAGCAATAATCGAGAATCAAATCAAAGCTAAATGGTCGCAACCCCTTCTTAATATTTCTTACTGTCTCCGCCTTCACCAGTTGTTTGAAAATCTCAAAGTCAGTGTTATCCCCTTGGGTTTGAGGGTCGAAGTTTCTTTGACTAGTTATTTTAGCATTGTGATGTATTTATTTCTTTAATGCTATATATGCATGCAGGCTGTCCAGATTCTTTGATACTAGTCTATATATTGTTTGCTGCATAAATTCTGCAGTTTCATATGGAAATCCCCCCCAATTAGCAGTTGCTAGTTCCAAAAACAAAGCATGTTCATTTCACAAATTCAGAAAGAGTTTAATAGCAATGATACTAAATACTGATGAAAAATCTGGAAGCATTTAAAAACTGTTGCTAACTGATACTAAGACGTAGATTATTGTGGCTTTCAGTTCAAGTTAAATGTTGCTTTCTGCGTCAGCACATAGACAAGATCTATGTTAATACTTGCTTTTTCAAAGTCTTTAATTCAATGAAGACTTTGAAAGTTGTTTTAAAATCAATCATGGCTAAGTGGTTTCTTCTTCACAATAAAACTTGTGGTATAATGAATGTTGTTTTTGGTTAGTAATTGCTCCTGGAGTGCATTCAGCTGCGCAAATCTTGAAAATTATTGTATTATGTTGGCAGAATATTAAAGTTTCATTTTCTTTGATCTGTAGTGCTAATATGGTTTTTCTGAGGTTTTGCTCTAGATTTATTTGTTTTATTGACATCATGTCCAATATGTATGTTTCTTTTTCATTTTCTAAATACTTGAATTTGATATGATATATATATATACATGTAGATAACAGTTTCTTATATAAACTGGTTGAAATTTCAATATACACAAGTAACAAGTAGCTAATTTGCAAGTCTGTTACCTAGCAACTTATAAAGAGTTCCTGGATTCAGTGTCTTTATATACATTGTAATTATTCAATAATGAATGGGCAATAAATGCAAGACTGTATTTAGTATGACCAAGTCATTGTAGTAAAAAACAGAGTGCACTCAGTACACAAAAATTTGAAGATTCATAGATATAGCATACCATAGGAAATGACCAGACTCAATAATAAAAAGACAAGATATTAATATGTAAGGTATTATATATTTATAGAATCGTATGATGGAGAGTATGAAGTTGTTTGACTCCATCTGTAACAACAAATGGTTTACAGAGACATCCATTATCCTGTTCTTGAACAAGAAGGATTTATTTGAAGAGAAGATCAAAAAGTCTGCACTCAATGTCTGTTTCCCAGAATACACAGGTAAATGCTTGTTTATTATAAGAAAAAATAAAGTGCATCATTTGAATGAAAATAAGTGCAAAGTAATGTTGCTTTCTGGATCATATCGTTTGCTTAATATCATAGCTTTGACATTAGATTTCCTTTTTATACGCCCGTTTGTAAAACAAATGGTATTATAGTTTCCCCCCTGGCGGGCAGCCGGGCAGGCGGCATCCAATATTTGTCCGGAGTATATCTCCTTCACCCATGGAGGAATTTTAATGAAACTTCATAGAAATGTTCACCACTATGAGAAGCCGTGTTGCGCGCATGAACCAGGCCTCTAGGTCAAAGGTCAAGGTCACACTTAGAGGTCATTGAAAAACGCTTGTCCGGAGCAAAACTTCTACATGCATAGAGGGATTTCAATATAACTTGGCACAAATGTTCACTATTGTAAGGCAGAGTGTCGCATGCAAAATTTAGGTCCCTGCAGCCAAGGTCAAGGTCACACATAGGGGTCAAAGTTCAGATAAAAATATGAAAATGTGTATTGGAACCATTTAGTCATCATGTATTAAGGGATTGAAACACAAATGGTCATAGAATATGTTATATGAAAGCCATGTATTTGATAAGCATGCAATCAAGGCCTCTATGAATAAATAAACTTAGATAGTGTCAACATAACTAACTAAGTAATTGTATCTTCAAACCAAATGTTACATATGAGAATTTCTTTACAGTGAAATAGTCACACTTACACATGTGCCTTATCGAGCAACTTGGCTGGGTTTCAAATAAGTTGTCAAATGTTGCAATATAATTTGAACACTTTTCAGGAATGAACACGTACGAGGAGGCAGCTGCCTATATACAGCTACAGTTTGAGAATCTGAACAAAAAGAAGGACTCGAAGGAAGTATACACACATTTCACGTGTGCTACAGATACAAATAACGTGCAGTTTGTGTTTGATGCAGTCACCGATGTCATTATTAAAAACAATCTTAAAGACTGTGGGCTGTTCTAGACTTAATACAGTTTGTAAGAAATTTGATATTTTTTGAAATTTAATTATTTTGAAGATCTATTTATCCATATATGTGTATTGAAGAAAAGTAAAGGTTCAATTACTTCTCATACATGTATTGATTTTCTAAATAAGTGTATTGGACCCTAATGAGCATCTAAGCTAGTGTCCAGAATGATATTAACTGAAATATTAATGTCACAAAAGAAAACATCTTCTCAAAAGTCACATGACAAAAATGTTTCTAAAAATAGATACTACAAAATTTTGTTGAAAGAAAGTGGGTTTAGCTTTATGTTTATTTCAATATGACCTGAATATAGCCAACCAATATCAGGCAGGTGAATAGTTTCTCATTGTTAATATATAAGGAGGATGAGGAAAACTCAAACACATAATTATGTAAAAATAATTTTCTGAACTAGCTGCAAAGTTTTTAGATAGCTGAATCGATTATGATAAGATCTGCAACATTCTGTTTCAAATATTGTTTGTTTGTTTGTTTGATTGATTGGGTTTATGTCGCACCAACACAGTATTGGTCATATGGCGACTTTCCAGCTTTACTGGTGGAGGAAAACCTCAGGTGCCCTTCTACACATTATTTCAGGAGCAGGCACCTGAGTAGAACCACCCGATGTTCCGTAAGCTAGCTGGATAGCTTTCTCACTTGAAAGAATCCAAAGTCCCTGTCAGGATTCGAAGGGGCAAGGGGTTTGTTGCAACGACCTTTACCACTTGGCCATGGACGCCCCTTCAAATATTGTAGACAGTTGAACAAGGCTATATGCCTACTTCAGATGATATGACATGAAATATTTCTTTTATTGTTTATTACCAATGAATATATGTGATATTTTATATTATCAATGAAATGGTTGCGAATAAAATATATATTTCTGTATACAATATTTTCAGATATATCTCCAGAATGGGACTGTGCATTAGTTGTATATACTTGTACAGAGTTATCTTCTCTTGACCAACACATCATGTGACTGGCCAGCTGTCTTGTGAGTGGTGCATTCCTGTCACCTGACCAAAATGGGACCAACTTGGATGTTTCCCAGCTTTGCTTGTGAACTGTGAATCAACAAGATTATTATCGGCATTAGTAATAGACATCTTTCTCATTTACTGTAATTCCCCTTGGAAAATTTATTTGTACCAATAAGTTTTTTTTATGGAACAGCTTACTATAGTTTTTAATCTGTTTTATCTTTTGTATATGTACAAATCATGCTAAGTGACTTCAATATTAGTAAAATTTTATACATACAGAATATGTGGCCTGGTTGTTTGGTTTGGTTAGGAGTTGAATCTATTTATAGTCTGTGTTTCTATAAATAGACCTAGTAGTGTTCTGTCTATAAATAGATTGATGTATATTCTGGCAATATTTCATCCAATGATATTAAGAAATTCTCAGTCTTTTTATATTTTTGATTTATTTGCTTCCAAAATAAAATTTCATTTAGAAATCTTGTACTATTGATTTGAAAGTTCATATATGGTCAAGGCGAGTATGGTCCCTTATGATGTTATAGAAAATCCTTAGACATTTAATTCTTTCATGGTAAATTAATGGTGTTTTTTTTGTTTGTAATTTAGTGTTAAAATATTTGTCTTCTGGTTTTGTGGCAATGGAAGACATTTTGAACTTTTATTTATTGCCAATTTATGTTTTGTTTTAAATTAATGTAAGACCTAGTTTGAGTATATTGATTATTAGTATACCTCTTATGTTAACATTCACACAATTATGTTTTCAGAAAGAATATTGCTTTATTAGAAATAATTATCAATTTTAATTATATTTAATATCAAATGAAGAGCAACATATTTAGTGTTATTTGCTGGCTTTTTTCTCTCTCTAGAATTCCATGATACAAAAGGAATCAGTATTTATTAGGGGTTTAAAAATATCAGAAAAAAAAGTGCAATGAAATTTTCAGAACTGATTTTTTTTTCTGATATTTGATCAAAGGGACAGTTTGATATTGATGATACATTCTTTTTCCTTCTGTCATTCCAAGTATGTTTGTCTGTCTGTCACTGTCATTCTTTCTATCTTAATATCTCAGCTGCAGTAGATGTTATGTATTTGTGAATGATATAGATGTGTACATAGACAATTATCAAAAATATTTACTATCAAAAATTTGTACTATCAAAATGAAATCAGAATTACATACATGTATATATAAATAAGTAAAAGAGAAAAGATGATTTTAAAATGAACAATAATTATTTTATTATATTTTTTTGTTATTAATGCATAATAATTTTTTGAAGGTAGCTTTGTTTGATGTGTCTGGAAATGTAGTCTGGTTCAAGAAATTATAAAAAATAAAATTTTAAACCAGTCTAGGAATAATATGTTTTGATTGGCTGTTGTTTAATTCTAATTTGAAATCAGTCAATCACAGTAAAACATACACAGACTAGTCTCAAAATTTATTTAAATTATCTTAAAACCCAGTTTTTCTGTTGCAGTGCATTTATTTTTGTTACTTATGTTAAAAATAGGTTCTCTTTAGAAATCAGGTGCCCTTCTTGAAATTCCCCTTTGAACGAAATGTGTAAATCATAAAATAAGTTGAAAATAGATTTGCTTGTGAAGTGTTTTGTTTTGTTTTTATATCGGGTAGTTATGATGAGACGTCATTTAGGTAGAATTTTAACCACCAGTAGCATGTTTAGTTCACACTGTATTTTTAAACGTGTACTGTTTGAAATTTTTATTGGCTAGTTGTCAGTTCATTTAAATGAAACATTTTTTCCACAGAGTTTCTATAGAAACCAATTTCTATTTATCTCTTGCTGTAATGATTAAACATTCCTTAATATGGGTTCAACACTAATATTCCTTAATATGGGTTCAACTCTTACATGTAGGGCTAGAGAAAAATGGTTTGCTATTTGAATGCATCCATCCAGTAGTAAGCACTGTTGATGAATATAAATGATTTTAGGTTAGGTTATTTTCCCAGCAAGAATCTAAAATTTACCAAACTAATATATTTATGCAAATTTAATGCCTGACTAATACAATGATTTTAATATTCTCGACTAATAAACAAGTTTAGATCAGCATATTTAGTTGTTTAAGAGGTCTTCATTGAACTCTTGATGAGTATTAAACTAAATATGAATTTTTAGGTAGATATATCGACTAAAAAGGTGAATTTTATATAAGTGCCAATTAAACTGTGTTGACTTTATCATATTAAACCTCAGAGATGTATAGAGTTGAGTGGAAGTTTTGAATGCATGTGTGTGTTAGTGTGTGATTTTGGTAGTTTTTTATCATCAATGTCATTAAATGTTGACTATAAATCATGTTGAAATCATGTTTCCAAGGTAACGAATAGACTATTTCTTATCGACTATATGAATCATTTCACAAGAGAATGGATTAAATGTAACATGAATCATGTAATAAAAGCATCAGTTAAATGTGCAGTGTATATGATTATTTTATAGATCATTTTTCTGTTTTCCTTTCCTCGTTTGGCCATATACACACAAACAAATTATTTTCATTACATTTAATTTACCCTGCTTTACTGACATTTACCTGAGACAACTAAACGGTTATGAGTTTTAAATTTTAATCTTTAGATACAGCAGATGAATGGTAAAAAAAAACTGGATCATGTTGTAGATAAAGTTCTTATTATTCCATCATCGTAATCATCATTCAATTGTTGTTGTTGTTATCAGTATATTGTATTGCGATCCCCGGTACAACTCAGTATTTATTCATGAATAAACCGTGCTATTTTCAGGCTTGGTGTAAGATTTACCGAACATGTTGCCTAAAGATCATGTCCTTTTTGGTGTTCATTTAATCACATATTCATTTCTGCCTAGTGAATGTGTTTACGATAGGTTTTAAAAGGTTTTTTTCATTTCCTTGAAATTTTCTCCCTTTTTTTTCTTTTTTTTTTAAATAAATTTTTACGGGTCCACGCAACTGAAGTTTACTTATAAATATTTGTGAAGCAATAGGTTAAAGGTACATAAAACTGAAAAGAATTTTTACGAAAGGTGGTTGTCAGGGGATGATGCATTTTTTCTTGAATAAGGCTTTAAATCAATCACAAAAGCTTTGTTGTTTTTATTCTACAGGATCATTTTTGTAATTTGTAAGATAATTGAATATTCATTTGCCAAAATAAATGATAATATATTGTGTCACTTTTATTCTTGTTTTTAGTCCAAATGTTTTCATATAGCTGCTTCACTTTGTAACAAAATAATCCAAGATTTATATACCAACTTTTGATAACATTTATATATACATTTTGCCTTTGTGTATTTGGCTAATAGTTTGTAAAGGAGTACTGAACATTTTTAATGTAACTGAAGATTTATAGCACTTGTGATATAGGTGTTATAAAAGTTTCAGGCAATCTCTGCTCACAACTGAGATTTTATTTCATCGTATCTTTTAGTGATGAAAATTAATTACAGAGTGAAGAATATATTTCATATTTCACTGGAAAAATGATTTATTTATTTCTTCAGAATTTCTTTACAAACTGTTTGCATATCTATTTAAGCCTCACACTTGTCTAAATAAATGTAATTAATTGGCCTTTAAAAAGTGTGTAAACTCCTTTGTAAAGCATGTAACTCAAAGTAAGGTGCATTAAAGTAATGAATAAATACTCTGTATACTACCATTTAGTTTTGAAATAAATAAACATGTCCTACATATATAGATATTTAAATACCGGTTTTGCTTATGTTTGAAACAATGCTGGTCAAACTGAGGTTTCTTGGACTTTAAATACCAGACATTTCTGAAATTACCGGTTTGTGTCTGAAATTACCAGTACATGTCTGAAATATCCCAACATGTTGGAAATTACCAGACATTTCTGACATAACTGGTTTCTGTCTGAAATTACCGATTTGTGTTTGAAACTCCCTGAAATGTTAAAATTAAAATTATTCATGGATAAAAAATCATCATCAAGCACTAGATAAGGAAAGAAGCTCTATTTGATCTGAAGATGTGCTTGGTAGTAACTTGAAACCCCAAAATGAAAAGTTGGAAATACAATTTACCTTTGAAACTGGCATGATTTTTATCAGTCCTAATTGTGATATATATTTTAAAAGTTCTTACAAAATATGAAAAATAAAGGAGAAAAATATCAGAAATTAAGCATAATTTTAAATCAATACAGATATTTGATTATATATTCATGTTCTCACATGTATGATTTACACACTTAAGGTCAAATTATTGAACAATATATTAATAACTATTATTTTTTTGGTCTGTCTTTATTTATAATCTTGTTTCTATTTTGTGTACATGTGGTAAGTTGATTTTAATGAAGTGAACTTGTATCAGCTTATGTGATGTATTTTCTAGTAAAATTGTAAAAAGTCAGTGATTTCTTTATTTTTATACTCCCTTGTGATTTAATGTAATTGAACTGCTATGTTTTAAATTTAGAGGTGCCCTATTGTTAACATGAGTAATTTCTATATCCAATTCTTCCGAATTGAGAGTACATCAGAAATCGATTTATATATGGCATTCCTTTATAGTATTTAAGGTAGTTCTTACTGTAATGCTTTCCCGCCAACAAATTTCTAACATTGGCCAATATGGTAATAAATTGCTCATTTTCGGAACATTATTTTTCACAATCTTAAATATTCAATAATTGGTAACCGTTTATAACCGGAATTTAGTACATGTACATAGCAATAAAGAATTAGTGATTGCATATAATCTAATGCCCAAGATTTTGAAAAGAAAAATAACGTTCTGGAAATAACCGATTATTATTTGCTACCATACTGGCCAATGTTTGGTGGGAAAGCATTGCAATAAGGCTACCTAAAATGTGTATTTGTTCTATTGGTGTAATAAGCTTAATGAATTCTCTTTTGACTCCTGTATGGGTCATTACACATAATGTAGTGTGGCTGGAAGAAACTACAAAAATGTACTTGTAAAACTTGAAGAAATGGAACCTTGAATGGTATAAAGAACTGACTTTAAGGAAAAATTTGAAAATGTATATCCCAAATTGAAAAGGACTATTATATACATAAAGTATTTTCCCTTATATTGTGAATTCCTGCGGAGGAACACAAGTCCTGTTTGTCTGGATACAGTTGCTTCTACACATTCAGATGTTCAAAATGGGCGTATCTGAAGTAAAATGCTATTTTAAAGCTAGTTATGATTTATTCAAACTATACTTGTTTGACTTCCCATTCTTCAATATGGCCCTAAAAACTTCCTGGAACTGCTATCTTCTGATTTTATATTATATCAGACAATTATATGTATTGTCTGTATAAATATTGATAGTATATAAATATTGATAGTATACAAATTTATGTATACTGAAACCAAAAGGAAACTTTCTCCAAGTTCGAATGTAGATATGTTAGTACAGTTTTTCAATCCTTTTGAAACTCGATTTTTAAGTTGAATAAACATATCGGGCTTTTATACGGGGATTAGCTGACCGATTTTGCAAACAAAACGAGTTTTACAAGCTACTACATGTATATAAGTGTGTACATCTAAGTGGTACTCTTGAACAACTGGCACATACTTTGCGAAAGTTTCTTTTTTTGTTCAGTGTAGAAAAAAAAGTAAGGTCAAATAACAGATTTCTCATTTTTGTGTGAGATAACTCTGGCAAAACTGTGATATTAATAAAGTATACAACACTGCAACAGTTTTCTCCCTTGTCTTGGCTGGCATTGAATATATCGAACTCGAGGACGTCACGAATTAAAAAAAAATCTTGTACTGTCATAGTCACGGACGTCACACATGTAAATTCCCTATTCTGTGACAGCCATAGATTCGATATCACCATTCTGTATCATAAACAGTTTCATAATTGTTGTTGGTGCGTTCAGTATTTTGACAATCTTTGGCCTTTTACTCTTGTGCAGGAAACGTTGTGAGGTGTAGTCCTTGCGTACATGAACTTAATGTTTATTTTATTGAGATAAAGACTACATCTTTAATAATTTACGTATATTTTGTAATTTATTGATTAATTAAATAAAGTTCCTGTGCTTTGTACTTTGAAGCCAAAATTAGAATGATTTTTTTTTATCGAGAAACTTTTAAACTGTTTATTTTGTTGTACTTTCATATATGTTTTGTTGTCATTTGCAATATGTTTGTAAAAACTAACATCCAGAGAGAATAACGTATTGCTACCTGCGAAACTTTATTAACCCTGGTATTGATTAAAACCTTTCTCACAATGCATATAATTATTATAAACAACTGCTGTGAATGTTGATTAATGTAATTTTCTATCGCCAAAGTCAGTGGATAATTTAAATCAAATAATAATTTTCCTGATCGTTTAGTTTACACATTCGTCAATTGCGACTTGTCGGCAATTTCGTAATATTCCGGTAAATGACAATTTTCAAGTATAATAATGAGATAATAAAAAGAGAAAACACACAGTCGAACCTTTATGATAGCAACAATAGTCTCTTTTGATCTTTATCGACAAAGAATCCGAACTTGAATTCTGAAGCTGTCTTCAAATAGCAGAATTTAGAAATAATCTATCAATTTAAATAACATGCTAAATCTAGAAAAGAATATTTCACAGACAATAATGTTTTCATCGGAGAAAAGTAAAGCTCTTTGTGCCTCATAATCCACCCTATGCTGTGCAAATATCACGTGCAAGGTATCCCACCTACAAATAGCTTGGTTTAGGCCTAATCCCCTCCACAAATTTATCATTATCCTATTCTAATTTTGATTAAGACGTCTCAAGTCTGATGCATTTTATAATCATTCCGAGATATTCTGATTATTACGGACTGTATGTGTATATGAGTTTATTAATATAGTCGAGTCCTTCTGGAGAGTGTTAGTCATTTCAGACTTTGGAGGATAGTGCAAAGATACAGATACAGAAAGACGCACCGAGCCAGTGGCTTCTTCTGGTTCTTTAGCGTGCAAAGTGTTAAAGCACTCATACACGGGACCTCAATTTAAAATCTCATCCAAAAGAGTGATAAGTAATTTTAGTTGGCCAGCCCGGGAATCAAACCCACAATGTCGATACAACAAGCCCTGCCCTCTATTTCGGACTTGTAGCAGATGGACTATTTATACTTTGCGGAACGGAACAAACTTTGGGGTACTACTCGGGGCACAACATCAAATAATGATATTCTACGGAATGGAACAAGACATTTATTTTTTCTTGTCAATGAAATTTTTCATCCTGGTATATTTCAGATACATGCAACTTGTTTTAAAAAGCTATGTTTTTGACTTATTCAATCTAGGAATTCATATTGCCATAAGATTTATATATTTAATAATTTCGCACTTGTTGCAGAAATTTAATATTTATTATTCATAAAAACTGACAAATAAAAAAAAAATAGTGCACAATCTAGATAAATATTTTGGTAATATCAGGACTTCTTTAATATGTATCGAATGACCGTCATATCCAGTACACTCCTTATAAAGTTATGTAATTCTAAAATTATTAATAATAATCGTAAATCATTAAATTTAAAACATGTTTGCAAAATATAATTAAAAAAAAAGTTTCTGTATGATGTGAAATAGAACAAAGTTCCTTTTTACTTACGCAAACTAGTACTTATTAAAATTAAGTACTTATGCCAATAACGCCAAATAAGAAATATTATGTCAATAACGCCAAAATAAAATTCCTGTCAAATGTCAAAAATATATATAATTAGTCAAAATATATTGACATGCCAAAGCTAGAGTGTGAGATATTTTCGTGCTGGGGCAGAATCTCGCTTTTACACGATATAGTTCCTAGACACGAAAATAGCACAATATCTCGTCGCGCTGGACTAGTGTCAGGCGTGCAACAACTACGCGAACGTTGCACATACAAAAGTAATTCAAGTTTATACTCCTCATTGTGGTGTAACTTTTAACTATAAAAGTAAAGTCGAGAAATATACCATAAAGAACAAAACGCAACAAATATTTTTTAATAAGCATACGTAATTAACAGTTTACGATATATGGTCATTGAATATGAGTCTCAATCTATTATATGATACTTCACCTTCTATAAAAAGTTCTGTTGACTAATGTGGCGCCGTTAAATGCACAGGCACGAGTATCGGACCTGGGATGAAAATATATGATCAGATTGATAATAAAACCTGTGTTCATCTTAAAAGTGTCAAAAACCAAAAAAAAAAAAAAAAAAATGCAAAAAATGACCCCCCTTAAAATATACTATAAGTTAAGAGAAGGCCGGAAACTCCAGATTCGAGCCTACGAGCAAGGGATTCATTTCCCGAGCCGTTGTGAAAACAATTGGCCAGACAATTAAAAAAGACTTTTATCACTATTTTACGTTTGTATTAAGCTTCCAAATCACAGACGCTTGGGGTTTGGAGCTCAAAACGCCTTTAAAATCCAAATAAAATGCATATTTGTCAATCCCAGGACATGTACTGATCATATATATCAAAAAATCTTAATATATGCCGTTTTGAAAAAAAATCATATTTCAACAACTATAATAATTATTATAGATGTTGAAATATGATTTTTTTTCAAAACGGCTTATATTAAGTTTTTTTGATATATATGATCAGTACATGTGCTGGGATTGACAAATATGCATTTTATTTGGATTTTAAAGGCGTTTTGAGCTCCAAACCCCAAGTGTCTGTGTTCCAAATGAGACCGACCCCAAGTCTCTAGCCCTTCCCGTTCATGAAATATCTATCGGGAAACGAGCGAATTCGTGCTAAAAATCCTTGGTAGACAGAATTGCGGCACAACGATTCGGTACGTAAACATAGACTAATACATGTTTGTCAGCTGAGTACGGGTCAAAATCACTTGAATTTACTAAATAATATTACTAAATACATTAAGTTGGACCACTCACACCCGTCAGTAGCATCTGATACACGTAAAATTCGAATTTCAAACCTTTCCACAGTATTTAGATTCCTTTCAACGCCATTGTCAATCAGCTGTTCGATATTTTGTAACGAGTCTTCTGATTGGCCAATAGCAACGAAACCGCAACGTTTCACACAAGGATGCATAATGGCGTAGAAAGCGATTGAAAGACCTTGTAAATGTTTGAAACTCGAATCTCGTGTGTATCAGGTGCTACTGACGCTTGTGAGTGGTCCAACTTAATGTATTTAGTAATATTATTTAGTAAATTCAAGTGATTTTGACCCGTACGCAGCTGACAAACATGTATTAGTCTATGTTTACGTACCGAATCGTTGTGCCGCAATTCTGTCTACCAAGGATTTTTAGCACGAATTCGCTCGTTTCCCGATAGATATTTCATGAACGGGAAGGGCTAGAGACTTGGGGTCGGTCTCATTTGGAAGCTTAATACAAACGTGAAA